TGCACAGGCACGGGCTCTCTGGACTCTGGACTAAGATTGCAACTGTAAGCATACTGGGGAACTTAAGTTCTATTGAAACCAACAGGAGATACTTGAACTATATATATTTATGTTTCACAGTGACAGACACCTGGCATTCTGTAGCAACTACTGGCAGATTTCTATTTCTTTTGTTATTTTGAATGGGCTTCTTTCCACGAAAACTATACAACAAGTTCATGGAAGCATATAGCTTGCCTACAATGCCAAAGCACCATCTCACCTTAACTCGCAAAAGCTGTGCAAGCTCTTTATGAAGAGAAATCTGGATGCTTCAGAAGTGGCATTTGTGTCATCTGCGTGTTTGAATAGACCAGAGCAGTGTGGGACAGGAGAGAGAGAGCGAGCGAGAGAGAGAGAGAGAGAGAGCAGACCAATTCTTAAAAGCCTACAAATTCTGAACTGGAAAATCCTATTCCACAATTTGAAGCTGAATATGCTGTCAGCATTGAGCACCGCATTGCTATGAACACAGACAAAAAACAAACAAACAGTTCCGTTTGGTAGCTTTATTTCCTTCCCTCCCCATTTTCTCACACATGGAATTGTACACTAGTCGCATTAAGATTTCAGTGCATTTCACAGCAAAAAATAAAAAATAAAAAAAGTACAAGGGAATCTTAACACATGTGCATAAACCCTCCCCCCAAATTCCCCCAAACACTTTTCAGACTTTGTGGAAAATGAGGGTGCTTACTTAACCACTCTCGGGTGCATTCGGATAACCTTTTCCCTTAATATGGAAGAAAAAAACTAAACACACTTGACCAGCACACACAGAGTTTGAAGGTTTTCATGATGGCAGGGAGAGGCCCCACTGTTGACACAAACCAGAAGATGACAGATAATGGTATATACACTGATTGGAAGACTACATCAGAAGAAACAGAGTAAGGCACCACTCTTAGAAAAATTAAGGTAGCTTGTAGTAACAAGAATGAAAGCCATAAATCAGTACTATTCTTAATTGCCAGCAATTCTTAGACTTCAATAAAATATCGGTATCATAAAAAACAATGGACGTTTTTACCTGAACATGGTTTCCGGTATCAGATTGCAAACTGGTTTTGTATGTAGTCCCATAGCAAAAAAACAAGCCTTCTCAGGTGTTGTAGAAAAACCAAAGCGACGGTCTTTGTACTCAGCGGGCACACAAAGATGTCTGACTCGGAACTTACACAGAAGACAAATGAAATCACTTGCCTGGGCAACCTGTAACACTGACTCTGTCTCAGAGATGATCCATGGAGAACAGTGAGGGGGGCAATGAAGTATATATATAGATATTTTAAAAAGGACACATCAGTCAGGTCTGAGCTTCAGTCTCTTCAAAGAGACAGAACATCTTCAGGGTATTTACAGCCGTTTTGCTAAGGAAATGAAGCTGGCGGGAGGTTAAGGGAAATTCTAGAGCTCAAAATTGTTCTGAATTTTATACTTCTGCTCCCACCTTTCTCTCCACAACTCTTTCACATATAGGAAACACCCCATAGTTACAATTCTAATCTACTTTAGAATGTTGGGTTTGTTTTTTTAAAAAAAAGGTGAGGTTTACAGCCATGCACACATTGCCTCCGAAGAATAATTAAAAAAAAAGAAGTGTCAAGTCCTGATCCAGACAGTTCAATAACACTGATTCCAAGGTCAACTTATGAAGAGCTTTCCTCTTCAAGGTTTTCAGCAGGAATAATAATTCAGAGCAGCAAAAGGTGTTTCTCTATACGGGCACTGAGTAGTTCAGAAACAGGTGGAAAATGGAGCACAGATTGGGAAGAACTGTTCAGCTATTACTCCAGAAGCAATTCCACTTGGGCAGAACAGCATAGCAGCTCTGAATGCTACTGTTTCTAGAAGATTTTTTATATATATATAAAATATCGTAGGCAGCTTTTGCAGTAGGTGTGCTTAGAAAGAATACAATACACAGTTCAGATAAAATCTTCAGCGCCATATAAAATGTTTTTTGAAGTGGGGGGAGAAGACATACCTGGCAAGGTTCTCTCTCGCTATCTTTTGATTTTCTGCAACTTTAAAGTGCCCTAGTAGTTTATTCCATTATGCTTACTTAATTTTGTGCAATTGTATAAAAATCCCAAAGGACTGTTAGTGAGACACAGAATTTTGGAAGTTGTAGGGATTAGAACAAAAGAGAAGAATAATTTTGAAGAAATGTCATCTAGTTTGTGTCTGCTGGTTCATTTTGTACAGCAGGCATTCTTTTCCAAAGAGGGTTATAATAAACCCAGCCCTCTCCCTGCAATTCAAACAGAGAACAAGATTACTCAGTTTGAAGAAAAATTCTCCATGTAAATTCAATGGCTAATGCTAATTGTCCTAGGAACTGAGTAGTACACTACTGCCCAGAGACTGACCATAACCATAATATCTGAAACCACAATTTGATCCTTCTCACTATCCACAGTTTAAACAAGCCACAGTCGCCTGAGTTTGGATACCTTCAGGAAACCCACAAATTTCAAATCAGAAGCTGAATTTACAGGTACAAAACTGGAGAGTTGGAAGGGGACTATGCCTGAGGCTCACTATGACTCCCTTACCAGAAAACCAGAGCTTTCTAATACATCTAGGAACACAGGTGACCATTGTTCTCACCCTGGCATCTGATTGGCTACTGTGAGAACAGGAAGGAGTAGACGGGCTCTTTTTATGTTCTTCCAGGAAGCTGCCTTACACTATGCCAGACTATTGATCCATCTAGCTCAATATTGCCCACATTGTTTGGCAGTGGCTCTGCAAGGTTTCAGATAAGAACATTCCCAGTCCTACTTGGAGAAGCCAAGGATTGAATTTAGGCCCTTCTGCATACAAGTCAGATGCTCCAACGCTGAACTACAGATGAACTGACTCAGTGTATAGTCTGGCCCTTACAAGACAAGAAAGCCTAATTTTGGACTTTCTCCCTAGGTGCTAGAGATTCTTCACCATAGTGGCTAATAGTTCATGTTAGGAGTTCCCTTGTTCAAATCTCAGCCACAGACTCGGGGAGTGGCTTCAGACAAGTCACAATATCTTATGCTTGCAAGATAAGGATAATAATGCTAACCTACTAGACAGGATTGTTGCAAATGTGACTTATTAATATGAAGCCAAAACTGCAGTTCAGTTCCAAAAAGAAGCATATACATTGAGCATGTAGAGAAACTGAAGTGAAGGCATTAATCTATAAAATAAAGTGGCAAGAAAAATGTTCCAGCAGAGGCTATTTATATTCAACTATCTTCTGTTTATATGTGAGCTTTTCAAAAAAAATGCAAAGAACTAAGCAGAGGAATTTTTTTTATATTTACAGAGGCAAGCAGTAGCCCCTATGACATGCTGGAAGGCTGGCATTTTAAATATTCAACTTGTGTTGAGTTACTTACATCTTTGACAAAGTACTTAGTTTGCCACGGTTCTCCTGTCTCAGCCCGGAGTCGTTCTTCATTTCTCTGCCGTTCCTCAAGTGCTTTCTTATGCTCTGTCGCCTTATCAATGTCCCCGTCCCTCAGAGACTCTGTCACATGTTGCCACAGCTTCCTGAATTAAAAAAGGGACAGCTGACTTCAAGCTCTCTTAGCAGGTCAGTGTGTTGTCAATACTTGCAGCACATGAGCAGAATTCACAGCTATAATCTTGGCTCCTCTCAGATTAAGAATAAGGTGAATGAAAGGCAAGAAGGAACTGCCACCGTATCCTGGAAGTGCTTTCTCTCCAGAAAAAATTATGAGGAACTTGCAGTGCAATATAGAATATAACTGTTACCCAACTGAAGAATAAAAATGCATGGCAGCAGTGGAGAACCTCAGTGCAGCCACATTTAATGAAAGTGCCAAACCACTCTGTGAAGAACCTCTAATTCTCTGGCCATTTTTTGAGAGAGCCTCCTATGCTCATTTTGGTTTTCCTTAGGTTTCCCTAACACATTTTTTTAAAAAACAAAAAAACCACTTGGGCTCCCACAAATATGAATGAAAAAGAAGTGCAGGCATTTAAGTGTACCCAGTAAGTGTTAATTGCGAAAACATAAAAGAACTTCTCTTACCTGGATTCAAATGCCCCTTGTTTCTCAATGGGTCGGACTCGTTTTCTTGTGACAGACAGCTTTGTCAAGTCCATGCATTTTGTCTCTCCATTGCTGTAGGTGAATTCAAGGATGCTATTCCATTCACCTTGTACTCTACAGACAACAGTGTTGGTAGCATTCTGTTTCACCTCACCAGTAACCCTAAAAAAACAGCATTCAAAAAGTAAAATGTGACAATAGCTGGATTAGCCCACGCTCTGTATTCATGTAGGGTTACAGCTCATATTGTGTTATTTCTTTTTAGAAACAGAGGAATACATGCAAGTTCCAGTACAGCAAGATTTGAGTGCTCGTCATCTTCTTTGCAAATGTGTTTTAAAAAGCTACATTTCTAATGTTTAACTGTGCAGCTAGTTCAAAACAGTTTTCAAAAGAAAATAGTAAACTTAGGAGCCCATTAGGAGCCCATTAATTATTTTTGCACTCATCTCTTGCATTTTACTTCTTTAAAAATCATTGTTTTCTATTGATGGCAGCTCAAGAATTTCATGCCATGGAGGGTTGAGAGAGAGAGATAGACTTTTAAATATGTGGCTTGCCAATTAATACTGAACAACAAAGTTTAATGGGAACTTCACCAAATTTGTGAAATCTAGCGTACCAAAAAAGGAGCATTTTGCTTACAATTCAATGCTAGATGAGTTTCTGGTGGTCTCCTCTAAGCTTTCTAAGATAGGAATACATTAGACTGGATAAACGTTCCTCTGCATCAAGGGTGGCTACCCTGTAGCCCTCTGGCTGTTGCTGGACTCCAACTCCCATCAGTCCCAACCAGCATGGCCAATGGTCAGGCATAAGGGGAGCCGCAGTCCAACAACCTCTTGAAAGGCTATTGGTTGGCCACTGCTACCTTAACATGCTGATTACAGAGAAGTATTGCAGATTTTGGATTAAAGAGAAATATGCAGTTCTCCCAACATCCTGTTAAAAATACCAATACCGACCAATACTAAATATGAAATAGTGTCTAGATATTATATTCTATTTTAGGTAAAACTCCCTGAAACCAGATGTTTCCCTAGCATTATTTTAAACCTAAGCAAATGCGAATTGTACTTTGGAAGCCAACTTCTGCCTCAGCAATTCAGCTGTGCACAATACAGTTCCGCTCAATAAAAAGTATTTAATAGTAAAGTTCTCTGAAAAATCGTAACATAATTTTCATTACAATATCAACTAGCAGCAGAATCACTATGACAGCATTTTCTCTCTTGTACTTATGACTACAAAAAAGCTCATACAAACACTAATCCAAAGTCCCATTGGAAATTGAAACGACAGACAAGTGCTTTGATGTATTTGATTTATTTGAAGTAGTTATTGGCCATCTTTCAAGGCAAATGCTCTCTCTCAAGGCACTTGATAAAGAAGCATAAAATTAGGAAGCACAATTTCAATAGCACAACACAATACACAACATTCTGCTATTATTTTCCACTACTTCCCTGCCAGGGGCCAGAGTTCAATCAATCTTTTGCAAATATTTAACTAGTTAAATAAATCAAGATGGTTTTAGATGCTGAAAATCTAGTTGAGATTCCTGTACTGCAGGGGGTTGGACTAGATGACCCTGAAGACCCCTTCCAACTCTACAATTCTCTGAAGATCCCTTTCGAGTTACTGAGACTCTTTGACTTGAAAGCGACATTCCAGCAAGCACCAAAAGTATTTCAGAAAAGGTTTAGCTTCCTTTTAAATGTCCTTCTCAAGTTTTCAGAACGGAGTGGTGAAGTGGCTTGCTTAGATCAGTAGCAGCAGCATCATACATGGACTTCATTTTTACAACATCCAGCTCAAAAGAGGAAGATGAAAAGATGCCATTCCCCTAAGTAAGTTACCTGCAATTGATTCTGCACTACATTACACAAAACGCCTGCCAACCATAGATACTTACCGGTGAAGCTTGCCACCATAGAATGGTTTGGTATGGAAAGTAATACTTGCAGAGTATCCTGTTTTTGCACAATTAACACTGACTTTTCCTCCCAGTTCTACCCAAGGGACAGTCAGAATTGACCGAGCATATGCACAAGGCAGAGAAAACGTGTATTCCTCTCCATGGTCCAAGAGACTTAAAATACCTGCGAGACAAGAGAAATTCACATCAGCTCCACAATAACAGAAACAAATAATTCATACTCCCCGTACTTATATTAGAGGATGCAGAGAACCAGGACTTTTTATCATTTAGTATTATCAATGATATATCACTTACTTAAGGTGACAACAGCCCTTTTCTTTTAACTCACAGAGGAGCTACTTGCACTATCAGTATAGGGTTGTATCCAACCAAGCTTGTTTGTTTATAAAAATATTTATATACTGCTATTTCATAAAGTTATCAAAGTGGTTTACAACAAAAGTACATAAAAGCATGCAGCAAAAACTATATTCGAAAGATTAAAACCAGCTGCTGTTCCGTTAGTGCAAGGACTTTTGCCTGTGCAATATAACTTCTTCCCCCTGAGACGACCCCCCCACGCGCCTGCAAATATGCTCTGGAGGATTGGGAGATCCCTTGGAATAGATGGGAAGAAGTCCTATTGCATAGGTGGAAATCCTTGCTCTAACAGGAGTTTGTTGTATATACAACCCATAGTATATGTTAGGAAATTATGATCATTAATTGTAAAGACAGAAGATATACCCCCCGTTTTCCTGTGAGAGATAAAATTCATTGGGATCATCTCCATTTGCATTTTCTACTTAAGAGGCCAACATAGTTTAGAACAGTAAAGCCTATGACCCTCCCCGCGCCCCCCCCAGCACAATTCCTCTACATTTCTGAGGCTTGCTGGTATCTATGTCTTACTGTGACTTGTCAAACAACCATACATTACAAAAAACGTCTCCACTGTATACTAAGTTGAGCAACGGAGTAAGATTAGTTTTGGGTGCAGGATGGACGACATCACCTCTCACAAGGAACTAGAGCAAAGCAACAGTTTCAGAAAAAGGGGTCTGTGCGCCTGAAATTCTGTAGGAAATATCTGAAATTAACAGAAATGTGCAATGCAAAAGAAGCAAAGAAGAAACTGGAATGCATACTAGGGCCAGGACATAGGCATCATAAAAGAAGACACAAAAGACATCATCTGGAGACAAACCTTTTTGTCATTTTCACGTGCTACAAGATTTCCGAACTTGGTCCCAGCTGCTCCCAAAACAACTGAGGTCCACTGTAAGTTCTGACAGGACTGGAGCCTGTCTTCTTCTCTGACCAAGAGACCAAAGAGAGGTTGCCCTTGGAAGGAGACCTAACCCTGTAGTCTCTTGCATCTGCAGCTGGCTGGGACAGAGGGCATAAAAGCTCAGCTGCCCTTGGGTGTTAGGCTTGCCACCAAAAGGGTGACACTAAAGGGGTTCATTCCTCATAAGGTGTCTGTGCTTCTTGCACAGGGTGAGAACCTGGACAGTGAATTGTATGACTGGAGAAAGTTGCCAGATTCTCCCTGGGCAAGAGCCTGCAGTGTGAATATGAGGCAGGATTGGAGTGTGGCAGGGGCTGGGTGGTTTGTACATGCTTTTAGTAAAGCTGTTCTTAACCAGATAGATACCTTCTGGGATAACTGATGGGTAGTAGTACATTTTTGTTCTTGGGCTGTTATTTATATCATGGGCTTGTGAAGAGCTGAACATGGTTAGGGAGAGAAATCGCTATGGGAGACAAGTTATCACAGAAGTCGAGGGAGAGGCTATTTACACCTTGATTCTTGCTCCCACCTCTCCCATGGCTGGGTTCCTGGTGGTTCATCTGCTGTGGCCATCAGCCTGTCCATGGTGCATATGAGACCTGGGTGGGCAAGCTGGGAGTTGATCTGACTCAGCTCTGTCCACCTGACTACAGCATCAGCACAAGCTACAGAGATAGGGTGGCAATGAAGTGGATGTGGCTCATAGTACCGGTACTTCCATCTACATCACCAGAAAAACCCCTGTCTTGGAGCTGGTTGTTAGGGCCGGTACCTGTTGTTGGGCCAAGAAGACAGTCAACAAGGGTCACTGCTGGTTTACCATCTAATCTGCTGCTCACCAGCTTATCTGACCAAGCTGATGGGCATGGTGATGGAGGAACCCCTAACAATAGTCCTGGATGATGTCAACATCCATGCAGAGGATGTTTGCAGCAATGGCTGCCAGCAGTGACGGACTTTGATGCTGAAATCTTGTAATAAAGAGCTGTACATAGACGAACCTGTCTATGTGTGCTTACAAGGAGTAAGGCTGCTTTACACGCTGTGTTTGTACTCTGCTAAAAGCCGTGACTGAGAAGAGACAGCAGGAGTTATTGCGCAGCTTGGGAGGAAGCGTGCCGGACCGCTGTAAGTGATTGATTGGAACCGTAAAGCTGTCTGAAGTCGCGGCTCTATCGATCAAGGGCCAGATCGATTTATCCGAAGATGCCTCAGGTGTTCCTTTTCAGGACTTCATGGCCTCCATGACAGCCATGGGGCTGTCCCAAGTTATCAGTGACCCAACACACTGGCCAGGGCACACCCTCAATCTGGTCTTTGCTCCAGATGGAGGAAGGGGTTGACTGGAAGTAGCAGGGGGCTCATGGTCAAACCACTTTCTGGTGAAGTATGGTCTAATGGCTTTGATCCACCCCTGGAGGGGTGGGGTACTGAATTGGATGGCCCACCCTCACCACTGGAGATTAATGGAATCCAATGGGTGTCTAAATGCCCTGGGCCTTTTTCCCAGTGAGTAGAGCAGACAATCTGTTTGAAACTTAGTTGTACTGTTGAACAGTGAAGCACAATGAGCTCTTGAAATGGCCATCCCTGAGCATCACTGGCACCATGAAGCCCTGTCTTCACAGGTTAGATCAGTGTTTCCCAACCAGGCGCCATATGGCCCCTGGTGGCCCCCAGAATATTCCAGGGGGCCAAAGGTCAAAATCTCGTAAATGGGGGGCCACAGCACACAACTGCCCCCCCCCGGCTATGGGCAGGCCACAGGAAGGAAACAAGGTCAGAAGGGAGCCACTGTTAGAAAAAGATTGGAAAACACTGGGTTAGCTGACAAGTAAAGCACAAGTGGTGAAACACACACTGTGAAACCGACCAAACATGAGTGAGCCGATTGTGGCAAGTGGCTAATTGTGGCGTTCTTCACTTACCTTCGCCAACCATAGTCACTCCTATTGACATTCCTAGGAATTTACTTTTAGTCCAGACGTGAGCATTGACACACATATTCCTTTCTACACATTCGGCATAAAACCCTGAGACTGGAGGGTGATGGGACACTTGTTCCGCTACAAATCTGACTGTGTGGTAGTCCGACTCTGCTTGTTCCTGTGACTCTTCTGAGACAGTCCCTTGCTCAGAGAGGGAATGGGACGAAGAGTTACTACTCGTGTCGGACGGTACTCTGCTCTTCCACGAGCAGTGAAACGTTTCCCCGATGATCGGGTTGTATGGCTTTTTCGCTATCGCCCCTTTGCGACCTTCATGAAAGGAAGTGAGGTAATATTCCACAAAGCGGATCATCCTCTCCTCAGGGCTGGCGCCGCTGGATATCGCAATGAAGAGATCTGGGTGGGACATGAAGTCAGCATACATTTCCAGCAAAGAGCGTTTCTCTAATATAAAAGTGGGGAGTACCACCTGAAAAGAAAGAAAGGCATGAAGCACACCTAAAGCTCCGAATTGCAAGTGACTGGATAAGGGTATAACGCTTTTCTAAGCAAAGAGCACAACCTTAACTAGTGCAAACAAGAGGAAGACATGTTACATTGTGTATTCTTAAAACGCAATGAAATACTTCCTCCTTCTCCTCTTCTTTAGGTGTTCCAACACAGTGGAGGGTGGCTGTCTGAAGCTAAGGCATCACTTATACTTATCGGGGCTCCCTGAATGTTCCAGAACCCCGATTTTCCAGAGCTCTGAAATGTACACCAAGCCTCCACAAGTGCAGGAAGCTTCCCATTTCAGTCCATGGTGGTCAACAGGAATGACAACCTGGGGTGAGATGGAGCTAGTGTACACACACACACACACACACACACACAGCAGATTCCTTATTACCCAAAAGAATTCCTAAATAAACAATTCTGAGAGCGCAGTTCAACTAGCTGATATAAACTCAACTGGTAGGAATGTCTTCAGCGAGGGCTTTTTTGTGGGAAGGGGAGCAAAGGCTTAATTCCAAGTTAATTAAGTTGTCTGTGCAAATCCAGATGTGGCTGGGCCAGCCTTCAGTTCCAGAAGCACTTCCATCTCAATTTCAAAAAGATTAATGTTTCAGTCACTTACTCTTGTTAAGTCCATGCCAAGTTTGAGTTGAGACAGGAGATGCAAGATAACGCTACGCTGTTCTTCCACGGCTCCAAGGTCATCCTCTTTAAGTTCACATGTATCCTCTATCTCCTCATCTGGGTTTATTTCCTCTGGTTCCTAGTGTAAATTCCAAAAACAAATGACACTTCAAATAATTCACCAGCCCTAAATATCTGGGCTTTATAACTTAATCCCTCTTCCTCCCAAGCACGACGGTTCAGTCATCCTCCCAAACCTCACAGATAATCACTCATGTCTCAAGCAACATCATTTGTAGGAGTGATACTGAACAAGCCACTTAACAACAGTTAAGGCTGCAAGCTTCAATTAATAGCGTGATCCTGAGAATGACGAATCAGAAGAAAGACTTAGTTGCCTAACTAATTTCTTGGGCTGACTGAAGAGAATATCACTGTTCATCCTCCACAGACACACTAGCTTCTCTTCTCCCTATGGAAGTTTTATTTTGTAAAAAAACACAAATTTTATTTTTAGTTTCTCTACAAAACTAGCCCATATGTATGATTTCACTTCTAGGAATAAGAGACACAAGCTAGTAAAGCTGACAGCACTCTGTTTAAACCAATGTCAGTGTATCTCTTCTGCAATACGGGTGGGATTTCAATATGCTCATTTTTTGTGTCTCTAGGGTGCTATTAAAATAGGAATTATTATACAATCTGGATTTTTACATTGATAAAAAATAAATAAAGATGATTCAACAATGAATAGTAGCCTTTGCTTACAAGTTCTAATGCTGTCCAGGAGCATTCTTTAATGATCTCAAACACCCCACCTCAAACACACTCAGGGTTTTGGTAATATGCACATTTACTTGATCTGTTAATTAAAAGCTGGGTGTTTCATCAACTGCGTTTTAACTTCAGCTGATAGACCTGCTTAACAGATAGGTATAATCATATTTTGCCTTTGATGGAACAATTTTTTTATATTTCTAGTACTTGCTGTCAATTTCCTGAAATGAACAAGACAAAATCACTGAGTGGGAAATTTAAAAACCCACTTTAATAACAATTAAATGTAAAACAAAAATAAGAGTAACATATGTTATGTTTAATGCTAATGATGCTCAGTTTCTCCTATGTAGAATGATGACTCCAAGTATTACAAATGGAAAAAAGTGGGAACAGTAAAAGTTCTCTGACAGACTTGCCCTGAATATAAATGTGCCAACACACAAAAAAGAAATAAATGAAGTATAACCTGCATGTATCCATGTATCACAGATTATGAAGTTTACTCTCCCAGAAGGAATTCCTGCTTGTCCTAAGTGGAATAGCCAACTACAAAACGGCTATAGACCAAGCATAGAAGAAGTATTTAGTAAGATGACCTGGATTGCCAGACTCAAAGGTCTATTAGCTCCAATGGCAGAGAGGGAATGATATATTCAGTATCATGTCTCACCTTGGAAGAGGCAGACTGAAGACAAAGACAGATAAGGCACACCAAGTATTTGTTTTTAACTAATTTTAATACTGTGTTTAAATTGCTGTATCCCACTCTCGAACCTTGTGGTGAAAGGCAGGTAACATTCTGAATAAACAACAAGGAGTCTTATCCACTTGGCCACTATGGTATCTATCAAAATGAGCAAAGCCTTTTCAAACATACGGACCCAGGAGTTACCCTCCATATTCCACAAAATATTTGTCAGTGATATTAATAAAGATTGCTTATAGAAATAGAATAACTGTGAATGCTTATTGTTCCTATGTCCCATTTGAAGTGCCCTTCAAAGCTATACTGAGTAGACATCTTCCTTTAATAGTTCCTCGGGGAGGTGTAAAAACATTTTCCCCCTCTTCTCTGCTTTCTCTACAGGTGCCAAAATGCATTAGTATTTTAGGCTGTGCCAACGATTCTCCAGCACTAGGTCTGGGAATGCAAGTGGGGTCCCAGTGCACTTTCAAGTGGGCCTCACGGACACAGCCCACACTGTGTCTCCTCACTTGCCCGCTCTGCCCCTGCCATTTTGGTTGGACTGAGGCCAGTACCAGCAATTCATTGCCGAGAAAGATGGGCGGGAGTCAGAGTTGGGGTGGGAGGAAAGGGAAGAGGAATGGAAGGAAATGAGAGATGCAAAAGGCTAATACAGTGGTACCTCAGGTTACAGACTCTGCTAACCCAGAAATAGTACCTTGGGTTAAGAACTTTGCTTCAGGATGAGAACAGAAATCGTGCTGGCGTGCAGCAGTAGCAGGAGGCCCCATTAGCTAAAGTGGTACCTCAGGTTAAGAACAGTTTCAGGTTAAGAACGGACCTCCAGAACAAATTAAGTTCTTAACCCGAGGTACCACTGTAATAATGATTTAAATCGCCAAGGAAAATGGCCACTTTAAACCATGAATTTGAACCTTGTTTCCCATTGCAGATTTGTACTTAGGTTTGTTAGACAGCAGCCCCTCGTTCTAAGATCTCCTTTTGAGACTAGGAGGAGTTTCAGAAACAGCTTGTGATATTTAGCAAGCGGGTTCACAGGGCTTGTATGTGCCCATGCGTTTGCCATTCAAAGGGGAAAAGTCAATTCTGCTAGGCCTGCTGAAAGCCCTTGACCGTCTGCCTACTATATCTCTGAGTCCCAGCCCATGAACCTTGACCTTACCTTCTCCCAGCTGGTGTGTGCGCATATTATAGGGTCACACCCACACCATATGTTTAAAGCACATGGCTTCCTTCAAACTACAAGAAAGAAGATTCCACCTAAACATTAGGAAGAATTTCCTGACAGTAAGAGCTGTTCGACAGTGGAATTTGCTGCCAAGGAGTGTGGTGGAGTCTCCTTCTTTGGAGGTCTTTAAGCAGAGGCTTGACAACCATATGTCAGGAGTGCTCTGATGGTGTTTCCTGCTTGGCAGGGGGTTGGACTCGATGGCCCTTGTGGTCTATTCCAACTCTATGATTCTATGAATCCTGGGAAACATCAGTTGTTAAGGATGTTGGGAATTGCAGCTCTGTGAGGGGTAAACTACAGATCCCAGAATTGTTTTGGGAAAGCCGTGTGCTTGTCCGTAAGAAGCACCATGCCAAAATAACTGTTTTCGCAGCATAATGCACATTTGCACAGTTCCTTTGGCATGGTGCTTCTTACGAGTAAGCTGCCATAAGAGGAGCTTTGCAGCAATCAGTTTAGTTCCATTTTAAATGGGCTTAAAGCTAGAATAGATTACGGATTGCACTTCACAGCCATGGGATGGGTTACTAAAGCAAGTGAAGGGTTGTGAGAAGATCCTTCTAGCAGACCATGTGAGCTTCTCTCAGTGGAAACCCTAAGAAACCAAATAACTTATCAAGAAAGCTCCGCATTCAGGTTTGCATTGAAAATTTGCTTGTTTTCTTTCTTTGCTCTTACACTAACGTGAACAATCACTGTGTATTTTTTTTTAATTATGCATTATTTTTCTTCAATAAAATAATTATGAACCAGAACAAGAAAAGGGAAACCATGCTTTTCAGAAAAAGAGCTACTACTACTTTTTTGGTTTAAAGTTTTTTGAGCCCAGGAACGCCTACCTCTTGCATCCTTGACATTTTGCAGGGAGCATTTGAGCATAACACCCAGTGCATATCATTGCCACAATGAAACTGCCACAGAGATAGGGCATGTGCTGCTTGTGGGGGGCGACTTGAAGCAATATCAGACCAGGGCCGATGGGGCATTGTTCATGGAAGGGAAAGCTTTAGCCCAAGCCACTAGCCCTGTACCCATAAATATTAGGGGAGGGAGCCAAGGAGGAACAATGCCTCCCATCAACTATGCAATGGCTCTTTGCTCCTTAATTTAGGAGGAA